GGCTGTGAAGCTCATCATTTTGCAATTTTCTCAATGATCTGTCTCCCTCCCTTTTAGGTCCAAATATTCTCCTCAACATTCTGTTCTCAAAGGCACGTAATCTATGTTCCTCCCTCAATGTGAGAGACCAAGTTTCACACCCATACAGCACAACTGGAAAAATCCCACTTTTGTATATTTTAATCTTTAGTTTCTTGATATGAGACGGGAGGACAAAGGATTTTGGACTGAATAATAGCAAGCATTTGCGTAATTTAATCTGCTCTTGATTTCATCATGAATGTCATTCTGACTTGTTAATGTCAGAACCAAGTACTTGAATTTTTTCACATTTTCGAAGGATTCATTAGCTATCCTTATGTTCTGGTTCTGTCCTGAATTCTAATGCCAAGACATGATCACATACTTAATTTATGTAAGTATGTGATTATTATGTACATATATACTCTGCATTTATTTCTAGACCAACATCCCCACTAGTTCTTAAGAGTGTTTCTGTGTTTGCTTTTATAGTATTTATATCATCGCCCAACAGATTAATATCATCAACATAGGCTAAAAGCTGATGCGTCCCATTCAATTAGAAATCACCCTGATTTTTTATCTTTCCTGGTGGCATATTCCAAGGCAGTGGTGATAAAGATCTCCATTTCAGGCCATTCTGAATAGGATATATATCGGACAAATGTTTACCTACACGAATTTTGCTGGAGGTTTAGTTTTAAAACACTTTAATTAGCCTGACTACCTTCTAAGGTACACCAGATTCAAGCAAAATATTGTAAAGAGCTCCTCTTGTAACTGAGTCATAGGCTTTCTTGAGGTCTGTAAATAGTTGATGGACTGTCCCATTGTACTCCCACTTTTTCTCTAGTAACTAACTAGATGGGTTATGGAACCCGAAGGTTCATCACCAAATTCACCAAAGCCCTCCACCGGACCCTGTCCTTGGCCAGCAAAATCCAATCGCCACTTTTTCTCTAGTATGTGGAGAATGTAGAAAATCTGATCAGTTTTAGATCTATTACAAGATGATGGTCCCCAATAATTTCATTTGCATATGGAGTCAACCTCACCAGAAGAACGTTCGATACAATTCTGTAGGCAGATGATAACAGGGAGATTCCTCAATAATTATTAGAAACACTCCTAACACCCTTATGAACTGGTACAATAATAGATTCCATCCACTGCTGTGGCATTTCCTCCTTATTCCATGTAGAGAAAATAAGTATGTGTACCTCATAACGATTCAAAGTACACTGCAAACAAAATATATTTGTGATCTTACATAACTAACATTACATCATGCACTGTCTACCATCTTCAGCTGTTCATTCCTCAAAATCATGAAACTCAACAGTTAATCACTACAATAAAATCCCACCATCAAGTTTTATTCCAAATAAGCTCCACCCATTTTACACGACTAAAACTGATTTCCAATATTTATTTCAATACCTCATTCATCCTTCATCCACTGCCTACCACAAGATTCATCATTCCTTTATACATAAGTTAAAAAATAGTGCATTCATTCTGTAGTTAGTATATTTATACTAAATCAAAATAATCTACATCATCTTATTTCTAGACACAGTAAAACCAATCAGACCAACAAACTGAATGAAATGGGAGTCCATCATGTAAATACACCTGGTCCAAAGTTTTTAAGAACATGCAATAATTTATATGGGAGCTCAAAAATGCTCTATTTCAGATCATTTTTGTAGTCATATGAAATTATACTTTTAGAGATGTTTACTACTTCAACTTGAATTTCAATTTTTCTTTTAGACAAATAGATCAAAATTTCTAACCTTACAAATTATAATTCTGCACATTTTAATATTAAGTTATTTGGAAAGAAAACATGAAAATAAAAGTGTTCCTACACCAATATTAAAAATATTATCCTGAGTTTATTGTGCTTCTAATGTCATTCTGATCCTGACTTTCATGTGTAGTTATTCCTAGTAATTATAACACAATTCTGAACATTGGCCATCACATGATGTATGAGGAAATTAAAAAACTAAGGGCAATATTGTAATATTTATTTGTATGACTGGAAACACTGCTGAGGCCTGGTCATGTTCTATTTGTGGGTAGATGTCCTTACTTGCCTACATCAACAATACTGGTTGCACTGCTTTCACACATTTCAATGCACTCATACACACTTTACTGTAGCAAACTGTCAATGGATATCTGCCCCTTTCATTCCTTCAGACACATAAAAAACACAGTCTTGCATATTGCTGGTCCTTGGTGCAATCATCTAGTGGAGCAGTAATCTTTACAACACACTCACTTGGCACAAACACACTGCAACTGAACCTCTCACATGGAAATCTGGCCTTCAATTACAGCATGACCATGTGTCAGCAGTGTTGCCACTAATTCAATGAAAATATACTAAAATTGCACATACTTTTCCTCCTTCATATACTGAAGTTGAAGGGCACTTTGAGACATGTCTCTACTGCCATATTCAGATGACTGATTGTCATTACACAGTTCAGCAGATTCCATCACAAGAAGCTAATAATTACTCAGCTAGACAAATTCCCCAGCTTTTATGCAACCTAAAGCTTCATTACCCTGTTTAAAAGAGGTTAACATTGGTTATTATGTGATTAATTAATCCAGTCCAGATATTCCCACACTGTTTCCTTGAAGTTAATTTTTAATAAACTCTCAATCTACGTGTAGGTTTTCCAACTGATCTCCTCCCTTCAGGCTTTCCAACCCAAATTTTTCTTCTCTCCCATTAGTGCTACATTCCCAACCCATCTCATTCACATTATATTCGGTGAAAAGTGCACGTTATTAAACTCCAAATTATGCATTTTCTCCACCCTCCCATCATGACATCCCTTTTAGGTCGAAAAACCCCATCACCCTGATCTCAAACACAAACTGTGTTCATCCCTCATTGTGACACCCAAAGTTTCACACCCACACAAACCAAGAAGTAAAAGTTTTTAGACATAGACAGAGAGGCCATACTCTTAAACTGAATGCTAGCAACATTCCTCAAAGTAAGACTGCTCTTAATTTTTCCACAAATGCAATTTATTACTTTTGTTCCCAGGTACTTTACCTTTGCCACATTATTTTCTTAAAGTAGTGACTTGTACCGAATCTTTGCACTAATCTAGCATGCTATCCTGTAGATCACTAATTTAGCTCTGTGACTGCTACTTTATTTCAATTTGGCTCTCTCCTTTAATTTTACAATATTTAAGTAGTGCTAGAATCAGTGAGCCTTACAAATTAATTTATACTGTAATTCTCCCTATACAAATACAGCAGCTCATCACTTAAAAGTCTTCATTTTGTGCTGACCGATTTCCAGTTAGAAGTTTAAAAGCATGATTTGAGGTTCTCATGGCAGCAAATTTGAAGATGCCTGTCTTCTGGGTTGTTGCGCCGTGTATACATACTCCGTCGTCAAGGTGATTAGGACACAAGTACCTCTGAACCATCTACCAGACTACAAGACGCTGCAACCCAGAAGATAGCCATTTACATAGGTGTTTAAAGTATTTTCCTGTCTGTCTGTCTTTTCACTGAAATCATGCAACAGTTTACATTACAATGTAGAAAACTAATCAATTTAATCAATCTATAGTCCCACCACGCACAAAAAACTCATTAAGATCATGCACATTTCTGTATCACCACGCCTGCACTGCTACAGATAACATCTCATCAGTAACAAACCTTACTTTAACTGGTACAATCCAAATTTGCATGATAGAACTCACCTATATACAAATTTTACTTACCTATAATTACCAGGCTATACCCACTTTGTTAACCCTTGTAACCTGACCCTGACCAACAAACTATATCAGTTCTCAAGTTCACTTACACAGTCTCTTAGGGCATGTGATAGAAACCGCTTTAAAAATGGGCAGACAGATGTCTAAAACTTTGTATGCAAAAATAAAGATTTCACAGTATGAAAGAACTTCATCCATGCAAGCACTTCTCCAACCTTCAAAACAGGACTGTAACAGCAACAGAATTGCTTCCTGAAAACAGAAATAAAAAGTGGGGGGAAAGTATCACAGGACGAGCTGACAACCAAATTTTGTTTAGCGATCCAGATACACACTCACATGAATTATGTATGCAGTCTTCTTTTATAACGCATACAAGTTAAAAAAATATTTCACAAAGCGCAACTTTCATGTCTGTTGATATCTTAGTTTACAACATCAAGGAGGATATTTCACCTCTGTGGAAATGTTACTGCTAACGTACAATCTGGGGTTAATTTTTTTAATCAGTAGTATAATGGCATTTGGTTTCGGCCTTATACTGCATCTTGTTTTGCTGGTGATTATTCATTAATCACAAATATATAAATTATAACTCTTATAGAAATGTAAGCCACAAAGAAAAATGTAAGCAAAAATATCTAAATTAAAATATTGTGCTTGAGAAGGTTGGTCTGCTGCTACACATTCAGTCCAGATATTTTGAATACACTACCATACACTTTTTGAAGCAGAACTTCACCAGCACAACAGCGCCATAACAGTCCAGCCTTACAGGCAATTCTTGGAAGCTAATTCAGAAATAAGAAATCCCTTCTTCAAGATTCAGCTTATACTCAAAAAGCCATTAACACCAGGTTGTACTCAGGCTTTTGATTTGGATAACTGATGGTACACAATAAATATCACAGCATAATCCAAACCATTAACAAGGGATTTGTAAACAGATCAGTTGTTACTGAATTTCTGTAATCCATGGGATTTTAAAATTTGAAAATAAAGCACTGTATATTCAGGAAGTTATAATAATTTCATGGGGTAATGATAAATTTGACACATGTATATATAATTTCATCCATTTCAAATTATTAAATTTCCCAGAAATGCCAAGTGAAAGTCTCAGACTAGTAGAATGAGAAATTCTTTCTTACGCCTCTTGCCAAGGCCTGGTTTGGAAATGACACAGAAGTGAGAAATTAAAACATTTCCTCAAAGTTTTATAAGAACACATTTATATTATTTCCATGATCACAACATATATGCTACTAACAAATTGGGTAACAAGCAGTGTAGAATACATGGACTAAGAACCAAGATGTTTTGGTATGACATCAAAATACAGAAAAATGACATGGTTTTTGTACAAGCTGACTGCATGATCAGAGATATAGCATGTAATCAAGCCACCTCCATACTCAATGATAAATGCTACTTGTCTACTAGCAAATTTGTTTCATGCTACATGAGCAGAAATATTTAACCTCATTCCATCTAATTTTACTTGAAATACCACATTGATTGCATGTACAGCTCCTAGTTCCACAGCATGTACAGGGCATTTCACTTTGCGTTTGCAACAAATCATAATATACGTGCTTACCCCAACAAAAATATTAGCATTTCAAATGTTCTTTGTTCGCGAAACGTGAAATACCTTGTATTTGGCAGTGCTAAAGAGAGAACCAAAACATCTCTCACAGCGTGGAGCTTGTCTTGATATGGATACAGGTAGCAACAAGTCACAGATACCCTGGGAACTAACGGAGCTCTCTCCAACACAAAGAAGTGAAATGGACGGTTCCCACTGTATGTTGCTATTACAGTTTATAAGGCAAACTGTCAATATGTTAGGTATTGTATGAGCAATAATCTCAATATGAGATTCCTTTAAAATAAAGAATACCATATCTACTTTACATCATAACAAATGCACAAAAAGATTACGTAGGAATTACTAGATTAAATATTTTCCACTTTATATATATAATTCAGAACCAAAATGTCTCAGAAGGGCATTATAATATTACTCAAGTTCCTTTTTAAAGGTTTTCCACAACACGTCCACTTTACATTAATGAAAGATCGATTACTTGCCTCGTCTAAGTGAACACGAGTAGACATGGTACTGGCACACGAGATACATCAGGGTATTCTTGCAATGTTGCAGGGTCCTGCACAAGCATAACCAATGTGGCAACACGTAGGTAGCGTCGATAAACTACTGCCGTCCCCCATCTCCAAGGCCAAAATACAATTTCTGATACCAGCAGGTTGTTTCCCTTGCATCACAGTGTTTTGAAAAGTGACATAAAATCATGTAATTCAACTACAAAGGATTCACTGCACACATATAATAATTACACTGATTGCGTGTGTCTCCTGGCCACCAGGTTCTTTCAAACCGTATGACTCTCCTCAATTTATACATTCTCACAGCTGAAATTTAAAGCAAATTAAAAGTAAATGGAGGGTGAATTTGTACGGTTAACAATAAGTAGTAAGGCAACTCAATTTCAGTAGGCCCCAGCTGGCTGACTCGCTATGCAAAGTACGAATCCTAATGTTGGTAACCAAATAAACTATAGTGTCCTTGAAATTATGCAGAAATTTAACCAATGATAACAATATAAAATCATGCATACAAAGAAAACTGTTTACACTTTGAAGGACACTAATGCCAAATGCGTTTCGACCTCTAGAGGTCATCAGCAGTATATATTATCAGTGTTTGCCTGTTATTGGCTTCTTGCTGTTGGCAAACACGTAAATAAATTAATTGAATTAATTGAATTGAATTGAAAAACAAGTTAATTCATACAATCTTTTTCAGAAGATTATGGTTTTTAACACGGTATGCAAGGTTCTAAGATTACTGACGCCAATGATAACAATGCTCGACAACCAGGCCTCAAAGCACTTAACAGTACACTGATGGCAGCTCTGTGCAGAAACCTGTCATTTCAAGCAATCAGGGAGTATTTTTAGATACAGAAGGATTAAATTTACTTTCAACTATTGACAATAAACAACAAGTCATTAAAGAACTGGCCAGCTTTAGATCAACATAAAATATAAACATTAAAATAGATCAAACAACGTGACTACCTAACAATGTAATACTGTGACAAGTATTAGCTGATAAGACTGTACATGTTGCATTTAAGGTTTTTATATAGAGCAAATTTTTCTGAATGTTTAGCCATATAAAAAAATCTTTGACTTCATCCAGCATATTAGCCATAGTGTACAATGACTTCTTCAAAAAATGTAACTGTAAAACAATCTTAGATAAAAAGTATTTAAATGTATACAGTATAAAACATTCAACATAACTGGTCACATATACGTAAAGTTTCATCGTTTCAGTGCATGGAAGTTCTGTCAGACGCACCTTCAGCACACGACACGGCCCACAAAATTCATACAACTTCCTTTGAGTCTGTAAAACACACCACAATGATAGAACAAAGCCAAGTTTTCAGCCTCAGTTACCCTGTGCAAATTTTTTTTATTGTTTTTACGGTAAAATCACCATGACAGGATGGAAACAAAACACACTGTCAACATAAACATCTCTTGAGACAGAACTGCTATCAAGAGGGACATATCAAATCAAAATATACCACCATATTAATTTAGGCATATTAAGTGTGAAATATATAAATTTTAGAATACAGCAAACACCAGGTTACAAACACATCTCACTGTACTGTTCAACTTGCACTCTCCTTTCCAACATCGCATGTTCACTAACATGAAAATTAACGTGGTAGAATATCACAAAATCTGACAAACATGCAAATAGAAGTTCAAAGTCATTATTCTTGAAAGCTGTGCTTTGATTTTTAAAAAATATTGTACATTTTTCCATTGCACTTTTGTCATACGTTGCAATATGCAGAGTTTCTTACAGACTGATAATAATAATTCGCACATCGGTGTCACAGAGATATTTGTAACACTTCAATCTCAAAGCACATCATCGATTTGGACTGTCTTCTGGGTTGCAACACTGTGATCTTGTAGGTAATCAGTAATTCGCTACAATAATAATGTCATGACCCAGAAGACCACACTCCATATTTTGACCAACATGACAACCTTAAATCTGAACACACCATCAATGATGATCCTACACCAGTTATTGGTTTAAGAATTCTCAAATTTGGAAGTGAAATTCTAAGATTATATCATTCATAAATTTACATATCTGAATATCGCAAAAATTTCACAACAACTGTGCAACTTTATCAGATCCATTCACAATCTTGTAAGTGCTCAGACACGACGATGTAACTTCACTCAGCAAATTCATTACTTCTCCTCTACTCTCACAAATATACGCACACGTATGGTAATAGAAATTGACTGAAGTGGAAGAAAGTTTCTCTTATACCTAATAGAACTTAGTCAACATTTGTGATGTACTTTTTTAACAACAGTTTCAATATAACATTAACCTTCGCTCTACTTGTAACTCAGATTTCTCTTGCTTAAACACGTTTTGTAAAGACAACTCCACTCTAATGTGTTATATTTTCATACATAGTTCTACAGAATTATGTAAGTTAGCTTTTTTTTTCTTTTTCTACTGAATTTTTTTTTTTTGGAGATTTAAAACCCTCTTATCAGTGAAAGCCAATAATATTTCAGGGCTAAAGCGAAGACAATTAAAAAAAAAACACCCGACGGGACTGAAATAAACATATCCAGTCACCACCTACCTCACCCCCACCTTTCTTTCTTCTAAAGTCCTGAGTAGGAGGCACCTACAATATTTCATTTTAAATTAAGCTGCCAAACTTGATAATATAAAATGCTTACATAAGAACACTAAGTACAAACACTAATTGTTCATATGTGGTACGGCAATTTTCTGCAGGGCTAAGCCATAGTCTATCATACAAGAAACATTTCAAAAACCAAAACAGAAATCTTTAATCTGTTATTAAAATTGAAGGATTAAAAGATGCAATGACCTCCCCGTGTCATATTTGAGCACTGGTACCTTTCTTGCTATGAAGAAGTATGCTAATGACAACAGCCATAGCAAAGAAGTGCATAAGCGGTGCATACAGATAGATATCGGAAAACAGATCAGTATGTTCACCTGACATCAGGCCTAAATTTAAAATGTAAACACAATGCTTGGCAAAATCCTGAACTGTGCCTCACATACAAAATGTCCCATGAAACATTTGCCAAACCTCGGTGGATCTTCACTGCTTATATATAGTGAAAAATGAATCAAGGGTAAAAACTGTAGACATTACAAATTTATCTGATAAATATATTCTCACTGTCTTTCTGCCTTTGTGTCCCCCACCACCCCCTTAGAGCATTTGCACACACAATGTGGTTAATGACCTACAAATTGGACCATTTATTCTCGAGGGATTTTTAAAACAGCATTCTACTATCTGCATTTCGTACAGGATCTGCTACCACTTCTTTAGGGAGCCATTCATCTCCATGCCAGATTAAACAAGCAACTGTAACACATTACTTCATTTTGGTCTGCAAGTCATACAGGAATTGAATCAGCGCTACAGAAACATGTGGACTGGCCACAGAGATCAGAGTGCCTGGCCACCCCATTTGCAAAAAAACCGGAGGCAACAGACAAACTCTTGCAAAGCATCACACACTGTGCTGCTCCCACATGGAAGAAAATGTGCAATTTTAAAACCAGCTCACACGTGCACAGCCATTTCAGACAGAAAATCACCTAAACACATACTTTCCACCTTAAAGGATATTAAACATAAGCAGTATACAACTTACAATTCCTATGTACCTTATTAATTCATTAAATTAAAATAACTTCAATCAATCTGTGTTTTTCGTTTCAAGCCATGTCGCTAAACCATTTTTTACTCAAAATAAGCCAATGAATAACCATCAAAGTTTGGCAGACATTTCATCGACACTCTGTATATTACATATCAAAGCTGCTTGAATGAGACAAGAGAGCTCTAGAAAATATGAAACTTTATCATAATATTTGCGCTGTTAAAGAGCTACATATTTTTGCTAGTAAAAACAAAGCTGCTGAACTAAGGTCACAGGTCCATGATGAAGCCATTACAGTCATGATCCCTATTTTGTTTCCAACATCAATGGTCACTGATTCAAGAGTCAGGTACATGGCAGGTTTGTATCAGTCACACACAATACTATTTTGATTATGATTCTTGGACTGAAAATAAAGAACACCAAATAAATCTATCAAGTCTAATTTGTTTGGCTGACATCTACTACCATTTAATTTGTAAGTACAGTTTAGTTCAAAGTAAAAACCACATAAAATATAAGACAGAATACTTGATACCTCCAACCAAAAGCAGGATCAAAATCTGCTACCGTAGCAAATAGTGGACTGAGAGTCTAGCTTTATGTCTACCTCCTTATGAAGACATCACTGTTTCCAAAATAAACAATACAAACTGCACATGTTAAAATATCAACAAATGTGACTACCTGGCATGTTTGTAACTTAATTGGAAGGAATTTTTGTAACTAAGAATTAATGCATGCCAAACTTAAGACAGTATCTCCTAATGCCATGTGCTGTTGAACTCACTCCTTCATTTTTTAAATGTAGAATAAACATTACTGCTATTTATAGACAGGATACATAAAAGGCAGAAATATATGACAAATACACTAATTAAAAATATGAAAGCATTATATAGAAAAGAACGTGGCCATTCTGAAATGGATATCAATATGACTTGAAAATGTACCTGCACATATCAGAAATGTAATGAATTAGCTTAAAATAATGTTAAGTTCCTGTAAAGAAGAATAACAAAGAGAAAAATATTTGCTTACAGTTCTACATCCAGTTGTGTATTACTATGAAACCCAAATGGCAGTGCAGAGGACGTGTGTTCAGCAAGTACACATTTTAAGCCCTGGCTGTGGTAATAGCCAAAATCTGTGTCAGTAAATCAAAACAGTCTTTTGCCCCTTCCTTTCTGGTTCAATGCAAAAATAGTCATTCCCTCACATCAACCACCATAGACACAGAGTCATTAAATAACCTATAAAGCAAAACCAATCACTAATTAGTTGCACTAACCATTCACGCTTTCAAACATAAACTGACAGACTACACATTCATCTACATAAAACTTTATTTTTAAAATTAATGGCCGCATGCAACAAAAATGTTTCTATACTTGTGTCCTAGAAAATTCAGAATGGCTTGTTATCTATCTAGTAGTTTACTTGGCAGGTGAGTTTGATACAGAAACACTTGAAATATCAACGTTCCAAAAACTTGCGGAATTAACCAACAAACAGATTTACTTCATACCTGGATGACAGACATATATGTAACAAGTTACGCAAGACACGCCTGGCAAACATTATGAATTCTACAGTAACATAGTAAAACTTAATGAAACTTTGTGATAAGACTGCACTTCAAAATGTTAATATATATCCAGAAAAACCATAGTCAATACATTATATAATCTGGCTTTGTGATTTAATTTAACCAAGAAATAATGACTGATGTAAATGGAATTTACTGTATATAAACACACAAATGTAAAAATAATTCAATTTATATAAACAAATATAAATAGCTATATAAACCGATCACTTGTAACAAATCAGGAGAGGAAAGCCGTAACATTGCACACAGTCATATTAAAAGCTTATAATGCATTACCAACCACATGTCAATATTCTGTGATGAGAGTTCAAAGTCCACAAAGAAAGTAAGTGCCATACTCTCATTTAAACACCACTTAAAATTGTAAACACTTATATCAACTGGTGAAACTGTCAATAAACATTAATAAACAAGTCATCAAGTTAAGTGTTTAACTTAAAACATTTAACTTAATAATACCACCATTAACTGGAACAAAAGTGGTATTATATCACACGATCACAAATATCTCTCTCACCCAGTAAAGAATCTTCCCTGAACATTTAATAATTCTACTGCCATGAACTTCAATACTTCATCACAGTAATCACAATATCCCACCACTGGACACTAACCTGAGCCACTTAATTTCAGATCACATCCTCTTCATATCCATTCTAACACAACCCTCCCATCTCTGCCTTTATCTGCCACTCTGTTTTTTTCCATGACACATTAAAAACATTGAATGGAACTAATTTCAGGCATTTATGTTCAAATCATACTTTTCATATAAAATGTTAGGGGAATTCAAAAAGCAAGAGCAGTAATGGAACATTTTCTTCATAAGATTGCCAATACTTTTGAGGCTTAGTCACAGAGAAGTTCAAGAAACAACAAAGACAAGAGTGTGGTTCAGTTGTGGTCCATCTGTACAAACCAAGTGCAATGTAAAGGTTGTTGCTGCACTAGAGGTTTGAACCAAAGATGTGCAGCATTAATGATGACAAGTACTACAGCAATTTCCCCAACAGTTCTCAAGAATAACTGCTTCAGCACGCTACATGCTTCATTCATTTGTAGATATGGAAAGCCATCCTTGCCTATCTGCATCAACAACACTGGTTTGGCAAACAGTTTTGTCCATATCTGTAATCTTTATGTCATGCTCACTCAGGGCAGACTACAAATGAACCACACTCACAGCATGTCACCATTTGACCTTGAGCTGTAGCATGCCCAGGCCTCAGCAGTGCTGCCAATCAAAATACATAAATATCCCAATAATGCCCTTACTTTATGGATCTCCTTTGTCCTATTAACAAAATCACATGAAAATGAGGACAAGATGATGGTAAAAACAGTTCAACGAATAAAATAAAAAAGAACAAAGTAATAAACAAATAAATATAGTTAACAGCATATAAATATTTTTACAAAATATCCACTAGAACAAAATTAAAAGTTTTACTGAAGCAACCCTGTTATCTGAATTTAAATTTATTACAGAAGAAATGAAGACAGACGATTCGTCTTTTGGTTATAACATGCCAAACAACGTTTACCACCGACAACATTTCGAAACAAATAGCGATCTTCAAGACACATTCACACATATCATTTACTGCCTTTTCTAACTTCCCTGTAACTTTCAGATCAGTTCATTCAAATACAACTTACACCAATATATTTTTACTATGATAGATACGGCAGTAGCCACATGAATTTGCTGAGTTCTACAACATCAGTCCTGGCAATGGATCAACGAGACTGATGGTCAAACAATGGAAGCATAATAATCAGCAGAAACTGCAGAGGATCTTAGAGTGAGCATTACTCAATTATATTAACATAAAATGAAACTGTGATGACTTCAACAGGATGGCAAGAGAAAATTTAGAGGCATTAAAATTGACACAACACACCTCTTACTGGAAATCATAACAAATGACTTCTTGAAATATGATTACAGTACAACTGATAATCTAGCAAGCTATCAAATTGTTTCAAACAAAACACTGACAGCTACCAAAGATTTTCATTCAAGTAACATTAACTATGCAGGGTCTCTGTTTATAGCCCAAACAATACAAAAGTAATTCCCTTTCAGTGGACATTTTTACGAACATATGAAACTGGCTTCACAATTTAACCCCACAAGAAAACTGGTTTATACATCCATAATGCATATGCTATTAACACATGATACCCAGTGAACATCAATTCTTCAGTAACAAAGTTCACTATCTGGATGAAATATCATCAAACAGAAGTCTAATGAATACAATGTCAAACACTTCAGTCAGGTTTTGAATAAACAGCTCACAACTCAGAATTCTACAGTATATTAAAACATCAGTATGTATTACCTACCCTTTTACATTCACATGCCACCTATTTGAAGCTTGATGTTTCTCACACATTATGATAAGTCAGTCAAAACTGAACTTCTCTGCACAATTAAATATAAAATATAACAACTGCAGGTGTACATAACAATGTTTCTGAGAAAAGTTAATGAAATCTGTTGCTAAGACTCAGAACTGACAGTTCCAAATGTGGTATAAAGATCTGATGAATATTTAAGGTGAGTAGTAGTAAATTTTCAGTCTAACTGAAAGCCATCTGGTTATCCAGATTCTGAGATAGAATTGTAATTATCAAAAGAGGCTGGATACAACATGGCAAGTGAATATGGTGATCTGTGAACGCTATCTGCCAGCCCATGTGTCAATTCATGAAAAATGCTCTAGTCCACACATGAAACTACAGTTAAGTACCAAAAAGAATGCATGTTTGGCACAAATGTAACGGCAGATCAAAACAACAAGTTCCAAGGAAGCTGGGTCTGCAAATCCATCCTTTCTCAGTTAAAACCCTGTTTCACCTTCTGAAATTTCTAAGGTAGTGTCATACTTTTATTGCTTCCATTTTTCCCTCTGACTGACGCCGGAGGCAGGCATGCCAACAAGGCAACACCACACAGTCATGAACTTTGTAACACAAATCAGTATCAGCAGCTCCTGGGCTGGACTCCATAAACTGCATTTGTTTCAACTCTTTGGAACAAAATGCCCCTCTAAATAATATTTAAAAATTATGTTCCTACCTCAAAGAAAACATGTCAATTAAAAAGATCAATTGATTTATGTTGTTTACAGAAATAATCGCTGTTTATTCTGAGAATCACTCAAAATCCATAAATAGATTGTGGGAAAAATAACAGTTATTAAATTTTGAAATAGGTGACACATACAGAAAAACAGCTTTAATGGTAGACATGCACCTCATTCATGACATCAATAAGGACAACAGGAGATTGTGGAAGACATCCAGGACACTTGCTACTTGAGAGACAAAATTCCCAGAAATAGTGAATCCTACAAAAAAAACCCAAGAAGTCTTATGAGATTATTTCTAAGATAGTGTAGTTGCGTCATATTGTGATTTATTAAATTAAAATTAAATTATTTGGTTATTCCGTCAAATCACAATTATTTAAAATAAGATAATTAAAATAATTAAAATATCATTCTGTGTTCCACATCGAATAATCAAATAATCGATTCCAATTCCAATTGTAAATTGATTATTCGATATGGAACACAGAATGATATTTTAATTATTTTAATTATCTTATTTTAAATACATTGTGATTTGACGGAATAACCAAATAATTTAATTTTAATGAGATTATTTCTGTATGTGATTAAGAGTATTTTCATGACATACACTATCTTGGCCATGTTAAGTTTGTCCCTCACCACCACGGCATGTCCTCAGGTTACACACTCAAGAGAAAGTCTATAGTTGCGGCAGGCAGCTGTGATTACTCTGAATAATCAGTCACAGACTGCAGATAAGGAATGATCCTCCAGCTTGGTGGATAGGTGGGGATTAACAGCTTCCAACTAACAGAAGTTCACATGTTACAAATGTAAAACAGGGCCTTTTATATGAACAGATCCACTGAAATAACATAAGCAATGAAAAATGGACATGAAGTTTGGGACCTGGAATGTCGAGTCTCTATAGGTCAGCAGAATGTAAGTTAAATTTAGTAGAAATACATAAGTCAGATGAAACTATATCAGCAGATAATTATGTATTTTTCTACAGAAATGAGAATGCTGATCTTCACATAGGAATAGGCTTCTCCATACACAAAGGAACCATATCCTAAGTTAAGAGGTACAGCTTTGTTACTCATAGAATGTCATATATAATATTAAGAGACTGTTGATGTTATATTTTTGTTCTGCATGTGCATACACTGTTTGGAAGTTGTAAGACATTGAGAAAGGCTACTGGTGAGACAACAAGCAATCCAAATATTTAATATGCAGAGATTTCATCTCAAGAACCTGAACGAAGAAGTATTTACGAAAAACACTTTCTGGTCAAAATCTCAAACAGGTACGCAGTTTCAGAAAACTTTAATCATAATGTGGACATCAAATGGCCTTGGGAGAATATCAGACAGAATATAGACATTTCTGTGAAAGTGAGACACAGTTACGACTTAAAGTGACGTAAACCATGATTTGGCAAAAGATGTTCAAACTTGTAAGCCAATGAATGGTGATATATGGAAAAAGAAAGACGCAAAGGTGGTAGACTTTTCATGACAAAAATTAATATGTGAAGACCAACAATAATCAGAGACCTGTACAGAGGCATAAATTAATACCAGAAGGGTTACCAACCTAGGACTCGGTAAAAGATAAAAATTGTGGTCTGCGTACAAATTTCCATATCATTATTAGCTTCTAAAGAAAGCATGTGCTCCAATTGGTTAAACAGCTCCTTAATTACTTACACTATCTATCCATATAATTCAACTGTTCAAACAGTCAACACAGGCCTCAGATAGGTAGATACCTTCCAATAACATGTTTGACTGGACTGGTAACATTATAAATGCCTTAAGGGTAATGTATGAAGTATTGCCAACCTGCCAATGTGAAAATGCATATAATTCCAAATTTTCCCCTCTCATTTTATTCACCTTCAAAATTCTGGCTTTTCCCAATATCCCACATCTGCACTTACTACAAAATTACCACTCTATGGACGTCAGAAATTTTGTAAAGGAAAAGAGGGCTGCAATTTGGAAAAGAGGCTTTTCCAGACCCAAATTCATGAACTTTCTTTTTTGTTTTGTTGTGTATACATCACCCTACATTCGTGCCAGACCTTGAGTTACACCCTTATATTAACAATGACTTGAACAAAGTAATCTCAAAACACATTCTAGAAGAGTGTGGTTCACTCAAGTACAGAAGAAAATCAACACTCAACCATTATCACAACACCATCAAGTTTCAATGAAGAACCCAATTTCACAGAAAGGAAAGGGGCGGGGTTCAGTGACCTGCACCAAGTTCAACAGGACGAAACTTTAGGAGGCAGCTTTATAAAAAAGCATTTCATCATTCTGATAAGGTGCTAACGACGTCATCAACCACAAGGCCAAAAACAAGCAAGAGATAATACAGTGCATATGAACTGAACACTAACAAAGAATATAACATGGACTGGAAACCTAACCTGATGCACTTCTGATTGAAGCTTTCCTATAACATCCAGTGAATAAATGAACCAAGATTCATTTTCATTTCTTCACTGGTTAGGTTAGGTTTAATTTGGTTTGGTTAGGTTAGTTATCAGCAGTTTTACCACAAAATTAATAATAATAATAATAATTATACTACAGGTGCAAGCTACCCTGTTGGTCCGCATAATTTCTTACTGAAACGGGGAAGGTAAATAAAATTATTTCTGATCCATGAACAAACACATGAATATTTGAGTAAAGATACATGAAGAAATTTCTGTGCTCACCCAGTAAAAAATACAGGTGATAAAAATTGAATGCAATTACGCTGAATTTCATGATATGGCTGACTGATGACGTACTACCACTGACTTCCACTTCTTTGTCATAGCATAACAATTCCTATCACTGTAAGTGTAACTATATCAATGTGATACCACATGCAACATCCATGGAAGTACACATCAATTCAGACATTCAATCAACTACTCAGCATTCACACTATCCATCATACAAATCCACATTTGCCCAAGTAAAATAGGGAGGGGTGGAGGGGGGGAGAAAAACCGCATTTGCATGCACACTTGCACTCACAGACATCAATTTTTTCTTGTTCCTGTGCTGTTTCCACCCTTTTCTTTATGTTTGCTGTGGAAAGAAAGCATATTATCAAAAACCACCGAAGCTTATGTCCATCCGATCCTGCTTTATTCGATCAAGCATGTGATTTGGAAGGTAGCTGGGCTGTGGGTATGTGCTGTTTGAGTAAGGAGACGTATAAGGGTAATTGGGACTAGGCATATGAAGACTATGAGTCGGCGTGTATGGGAAACCGCTTGCAGGGGAGCTGCTGTATGACGCTCCATGAGGGTACTGGCCATATGGGTATGGGAGAGAATTCATACTTCCCATTGGATTAGTGAGACTGACAGGAGACGTGAGGGACCCCATAGAGCTTCCCATACCACATGCCCGTTCCATGATCCCACCACTCATGCCACTCCCAAACATCGCGTTTGTTCCTCCCATCATGTGACTACCCATGGGATGGGAAGCACCCATCAGATTGGAGTATGAGTTCACATTTGAGTTCATAGAAGCATAATTGGAAGCTAGACTACTGACAGAGAAGGAGCTCGACACCTGCCCTCCGACATCGTGGTTTACAGACGCACTGCTGTTTGCCAGTGAGGTGACAGAGAAGTTCATACTAGCACTGCTATGATGTAAACTGTAACTGTTGGAGGTGCTGACTGAATAATTTGTACTTGAACTGGAGAAATGTGGACTGTAGCTATTTGCATTGCTACTGCTTGAGCCATTGTACTGAGAACCACTGGGATAACCTGAAAGATATGAATCGTCATTAAACTGTCCAGGATGCCCGTGTCCAGAATCAAAATGTTCCTCACCATTGCTGTTACTTCCTGTTCCATGATGCTGAGTCTCTCCCTCTGCAATGCTAGGTATCTGATCCACTAAAGATTCCAATCCTGACAAGCTTTTGGAGGAAACATCTTGATTTAAGTTACGTTTGGAATTATATTCTGGAGTGGAACCTTGAGAATAGCTTATAACGGAATGGTTCTCTGATTCCTGTCGGAAATTACCGTAATTCTGGTAAGTCATATTGGAGGCATCATTAGACGGCGCAGGACTCGAGAATCGACACTCATTTGGGTTCTGTGGATTGTCCGTACTGATCTCTTCCTTTCCAGCTCTTGAGGTATTCTGAGGTCCATCATTTGTTTCTTCCGGCATGCTTGTAGGAGGCTCAAAATCTGGAGGTCCAATGCTTGGGGAAGTTGGTGACGGAGATCCCAGGTTGTGTTCTGAAGATATAGCGGCACTGATCTCCGAAGACAGATCAGAATGAGTGAATGGTTGCGACGGCTGTGGTGAATGGTTATAGTGGTGGGACTGGATGGGAGATTGGTGATAGTTGGTTGCATCTGAAGGAGAATGAGACTGGTTCTGAGAATATGACTGTGGCAAAGGTTGATTACTGTATGAAGGAGATATATTTTGCTGGCCAAAGTTGATAGGGGACTGCAGAGGCGGCGAGAAGCAATTTGGTATCGGTGCAGATGATTTTGTGTGGTCTACAAGACCATTAGAATGTGCCATCATGTCATCTGTCTTTATCTTCTTTGGTCGACCTCTCTTCTTCTTTGGTGTGCCACAAATATCATGTTCTTTTCTTGACATTTCACTGCTTGACTTCTTTACTTCTATGCAGTCTGACTTTATTTTCTTTGGCCTTCCTCGTTTCTTCTTGGCTGGGGGTTGTTCATCTTTCTTCACTATTGCATTACTCAAGTCTGTGAGTTCACCATTTGATGGAAGACGGCCATAAGCATAAAATGTGTGCTCTTCTTTCGGTTCTTCTTTCAGCTCTGGTTCAAAATAATTCTTTAGTTTTGAATCTGTGAACACAACCTCCGTTTCATCAAGATCTGCTATGATTCCGTTGAGATAGTCCCGAAATTTTTTTAGCGCCGCATAAAACGGAACCTTGTCAGCAGCTCGCGGTAGCTGGGCACACCGGGCACTTGATGATGGCATCACCCACATGTACTGCAATTGAAACAAGTCACTACAATTATTTATTTCATTTTATGCTCGTACAGCTAAGCAGTATGACACTTTGTATAAAAATGACTACTGAGAAGCATTCTATATTTTCTGACATAACTACACACTAAACATGAATACTAACTAACTAACTAACTAGATGGCTTACCGAACCCGAAGGCTTCCCAAATAGTGGACCCAACCAACCAGATGGCTTACGGAACCCGAAGGTTCATCACCGAATTAACCAAAGCCCTCCACCGGACCCTGTCCTGGACCAACAAAATCCAGTTTCCTTCAACTCCTATCTCCCATAGATCCCGCCTGAGATTATCCTCCCATCTACGTCTAGGTCTCCCCAGTGGTCTCTTCCCCTCAGGTGCACAACCAATACCCGGTGAACACCTCTTGTCCCATCCATGCGCACTACATGCCCAGCCCATCTCATTCTTCTCGACTTAAATACTGTGAATGTAATGTCACACCATTTCTCTACAAGCACTTTTATATTTCTCAATTACATTACCAGTTGTTTTTTCAGCAACAATTACATAGCTATGAATAACATCCACACAACATCCAACTTTTACAATGTACAACATGCAAATTTTCCCAAAAACAACTTTCCATTTCATTATAAAAGAATTGCAATGTGCCAATCACACATTTCTTTCACAATTAATAAAATTTTGACCCCCTCATTGGTGTGGTCATCTGCTGTTACTGTGTTACTAATTGACTCGCACATATGAACATATTCACCCAGCAACAGTTCAGAAATCTAGTGGTTTAACTACCACTCTCCCTTTTCAATATTATAATGGTTACCGTCCATCAATATAAAATTACAAACTCAGGCTTAGTTATGCCATCAAACTGATGATGAAGATATGCACAACAGTGACAATAAGGGTGACACTGAATCAACTGTGGAAGGTATTCTGGAAATTGTATGAACTGATACCGATAGATAATTCGCTGTTGACGCAGGTTCGCAAACTGATTCTTCGGATAATGGCAGCCTTGCATAGGGCAGGCAGTATGCGGGGAGTTGAATCAGATGGTGCTGACTGGTAGAGCAGAAGAGAAGGCTCCCACTTTTACTCCTCTCCTTAATTCACCGTAAATCTAATTTTTTATGAAGTACCAAAAACTCTTAAATGGCTTGATGGGTATATCAAGTCACACAAAATGATAAGATTAGTGTTTAAAACACTGAATGCTGTAACTAAATCATGGGATGGATGTAAACTTGTAGTTGGCAATACTGCGCATATGTATAAACACTTAAAATCTTTAAAATGTACCACATACTACAGCAGCTGGTACATTAGTTCTTGATGAATGTGCAGATTATAGTTAAAATCTAAAGTGACATATGGCAGCAAAATTTAATAAATCATACAGCCAGTCTCACTGTAAACTTCTGATTCAAATAAATGTTCATACCATTCTTTACAATGAAAACATGTCACATTCTATATGAAACTAAGTAACTCCCTAGTAGCAGATCCCAAAGATCCAACACCAACACCACCAAAGCCCACCATCGGCCACAATCCTGAGCCAACTCCATCCATTTGCCATCCTCCAAGCCCACCTCCCTAAGATCCATCTTGATATTATCATTCCATCTCCTTCTTGGTCTGCCCAATGGTCGTTTCCAGAAGAATTCCCCACCATAACTCTGTATGCACCCCTTGCCTCCCCACCCCCATGCTACATGTCCAACTAATAGGAGCCTCCTACATTTCACTATCCTCACTCTGCTAGATGACCCGTACAATTCACGTACCTCCTCATTGTGCAGAATTCTAAATTCCCCACTTATTTCATCCCAGGGTATCACTCTTAGTCTAGCCCATCGCCTTAGACCTGTCCGGCTTGGGTGACTCTACCGTGAGCCGAAGTTCCGGCCGGCATAGCCCTTAGGGTCATTTGAGCATGCAAGCCTCCCCACCCAGCAGATTGCCTTTGACAATGTGGTGATACCTTCGAGAAGGCTTCAAGACAGAATGCAATTTTAATTTTGAAATTGAAATTCATCATTCCATCACAATTACTGAATACCATTTTGCAGAAATGACAACACTGATTTAATGACGGTGAGCCAAGCCATGGCTCGGCTGATGTTATTACAGCTCACCCAGAACCTCAACCTCCTATCCACCTGGTCTTCCTCCTTGACTACTACAAACCAGAACTTGTCCCCCTTTCCCACCCTCCCTGCTGATGTAGCCCACCTTAACGTCACATAAAACTGAACCATCATTCTGTGTTTCAAGTTCAGAGTGGTTCCATCAGATCAGCAAAGGGGAACCATGCTGAGCAATGGTTCGGTTAGTATGCTAGAAGGTTGGTGGATGGTTCCAATTTAGGTTTGGTCTCTGCATTTGAAATTCCCATTCAAACTGATGCTTAGCTCACCTTGAGGAAGGTGTCATTCTACACAATTTGTTTGGTCGGATTATTTTAGAACTGTATTCGTGTTCACTTGTATCTATTACTGTCTACTGGATGCTGCCCAGTGATTCTGAGTGATGTATCATTCTGCCTGTCTGGCATCTCGATTTCCTTGTTATTGCATATTCACTGCATCTTGTTATAATTGTGCTTGTGGTTATTTCTGTGAGAGTGCCTAAGTTTTATATTTAAGTCATAACGGAAGATGGCCAAGAGTGTGTGTGTGTGTGCGGGGGAGGGGGGGGGCGGGCGATCAAATGAGTCATGCAGGGAGGAATCGCAATAGCAATTGCTTCAAAGGTTTATAATCATGAAATACATTGAAGATTTCTGTCTTCTGGGTTGTTGCACCATGTGGTATGGTAAACATCTACCATACTACACAGCGCAACAACCCAGAAGACAGAAATCTTCATACTCACCGCTGTGAAAACCTCAAATCATATACGAAATACATTCCTTAGAAATTTCATATGAATTCGTAGCATACCCCCCTACCCAAAAAAAAAGAAATTATGAACTTACTGTATTTGTGCCTTCTACAAACTCGGGCTGCCTTCCAAAACTGAAGTCTTTCTTTCCCGAAAACACTTCAAAGATGAGTTTTCCATTAAATACTGCTATTTTTGGTTTATATTTTTGTAATTTCTCCAACAATATTTGACTTCCTGTAAAATTCATTACATACAAGAAAGTTAGCAAACAGAAATTCAAAAGCATACAATGAATCCACCATTAAAATATTAGATACATACCTTCTTTAATTTCTTTGCGTGTCAAATCAGCACTACCTTTTGTGGCTCTAGCCACCATGTTTGTGAAACCAATACCAACTTGTAGCAGTTTGTAATCATCATCTGCTGTCATCGGCTCCGGAGTTAGACCAGATAAGTACAGACATTTCCCTAAGGTAAACATCGAAAGATAAAATCACTATTCCATGGATCACTCTTTTACACTAGAATAACACAGACACTGCATGATATTCAGTATTAATAAAAATGTATAAAAACAAGTCAACGGTTTTGGAGGAAATGCATGTAACATTAAAATTCATAGAATCACATGCGTAACAAACAAACAAGTGAATTTCATTTAACCCATAATCTGAAAAACTGTAGAACTTATAAGAAGACTCAAAGTATCATGTTAGAATCCCATTCAAATTTAAACAAAACCTATGTTTACATTCACAATGATTTTAAGATCCATGACAGACACTTCATTTGGTTCAAGCTGTGATAACCCAATAAATTACCTCAAAAACAAGACAAGAAATTCAGCAAATTTATAAACTACGAATTACCACATTAGACCTCAATGTGTTCATTACGACCCTTGAATCTTTCAACAATTTATCTCAGCGGAAGACACAAAAATAATTTGTATATTTTTAATGAAGGGGATACAATTAAGAAGATATGGCACCAGCACATTATCCCAACACAAAAATAAAACAGCCATCAATACAAAAACAAAAGAGAGTAAAATAATCTGTATCTTTATGAATGGGCTGTGCCCCTGCTGGAAATAAAATGTAATGGTCCTTGCATGTCTACTGAGAAATTTCACAGCATTCCCAGGCTGTGCTTCCATCCTTGTTTTAACCAAAGTTGATAATTACACATCAAAAACTAATAATTCCTAAGATATATTACATCAACTTTGAAACGAACACCATGAATCAGTCCTTGAGAAGAGAACAACCATTCAACTGGTAAAGAAATGCCCCTCACTTCATGAAACAAAGTGGCTCATTACAGCGAATCATCACAGGAGCCCAGACATGGTTCCTAACCTGAGCTACATGAATCCTGTTCACACCCTCCCAACTATGTCTAGGTCTCCCATATGGCCATTGGTCATATGATACATGACTAGATCATTTCATCCTACCTTCATCTGATCACACATATATTTGGTTTCTACAAAACACACTCAATCCATGAACATCAAAAGTTCATGTTGAAGCAGTGAAAAGGAAAGTTTGCTTATTCCTAAAGATTATAAGATAAATTAAATGTTAAGTTGTAAAAACACACAAATTATAAATTCTGCAAACTCAAATGAAAGAATTATTGAAATAAATTAACATGATATGCACACCACACTAATCACATAATTTTCTAGTCTAACAAATTTGTAAAAGGTTATAAAAACATATGAAGTGTAGCAGCATTTCAGTTTTCACACAGTGTAGTCAACCCACCCCTTCAATGAATTCATGCAATACACCAAAATTCAAAAATGATTACTCAAAACATGTCTACAAATCAGTTAATTCCATGAGGCAGAAGCCTTCTTAAGGAGACAACAGCAAACAGCCAAGAATTCTCTGCTATTTGTAAGGTGAAAGTAAAGCCGTCCCACTATACGCCATGAAGGCGCTTGGGGGGAGAGAAAGGTAATAGCTCCTACACATTCTCGACCCCAGCAAAAGATGGGGGTGAGTGGTCAGCGTCATGCACTGGCCGTACTTTACCCCAGGAGAAAGGACCCCGGTACCCATTGGACAGGAGGCTGAGTGGGCCCCAGAGCGGGTCTGGACACAGAGGCTATATGAAAAATCCTCTTCCCCCGTTGGGGGTACAGTATAAAATTCATTCACTGTGCAATATTCTTCACCCTTCCTAGATTCACTCACCCTACTTTCACATCAAAATCAACTACCAAACACACCATGTAGTTCACAGCAAATTAAACAAACACATGCTTTACTTCCTTCCAAAAGCTGTCCCTTCTATCTATCACGACCCTTATCCTCAACTGGGACATGCACATTCAGAACAAATAACACCATGCCAATGATGTCTCAGTCTACATCAATAACAGTAACAAACCTACCTCTCTTTAACTGCTGATCTGACTCCATCATGTACAAAATAGCTTAAACGGTGATTAACACTTCCTTTCCTATAGACACATTACAACTGTGCGCTGCCACAATCAATCTGACTGACCTCATGCATTCTCACCAAGCATAAATTACTAGTTAATTACCTAAAAAGGATGATGGGAATATCTAAAGCAGTAGACACACATAGTCATAAACATTATCCTACAAACCCCAAATCCCTTAATAAAAGTAAAGTTTGTCCCACTATACGCCATGTAGGCGTTTGGGGGGTGAGTGAAGGTATAGCTCCTCTCTTCCTTGACCTCGGCACTAGATGGGGGTGAGTGGTCAGCATCACGCCCCGGCCGGCTTTACCCCCGGGAAAGGACCCCGGTACCCATTGTAGAGGAGGCTGGGTGGGCCCCAGAGCCGGTCTGGACGCAGAGGCTAGAGGAAAAATCCTCTGCCCCCGTCGGGGATCGAACCCCGGTCGTCCAGCCTATATCTAGTCACTATACTGACTGAGCTATCCCGGCTCATAAATCCCTTAATAGCATCACCATAATAATGGACATAACAACATACACACATTTAAAAATATTGTCTCATAACGACCAATATCCTTTAACTGCAATTGATTACCAACCAACCCTTGACTGAACAGATGATAAAGTAATATTCCTTTTGTTCCAATTTTGTTTTGTTGTACTGAAAAAAGAAGCAATACCCATAACCTAACATTGCTAACAAGAAGAGTGTATGAAGGAAAATAACAAGGCCCTTTAAAAAGGCTTTAGAAACACTCAGAACATCTTAGACAATCTTTATAAGACAAAGCACAACCTAACATTCTCCCCTGTTACAGCCTGTGAAGGATCTGTCTTTCCAACATTTGACCCATCAACTAAAACTCTGACCACCCCTGATACTAATATGAAAACTACAAATTGCGAAACATAACTAAAACCTTGGTGCGTGTTGATACATGGTTGTACCACTCCTGAACATACCAACATGACATAACACACAAAAGCTTTGATATAATGCAGGCCCACAAACACGCATATCAATCATACGAGGCTCGTCCACAAAGTAAGTTTCCCTGGGGCCGTTTACAGAAACAAAACACAATTTCATGGAAATATTTATTGCAACAGATACAGCAAGTGTCCAGCTATTTTTCAACATATTCGCCACCGGAATTGAGACATTGGTCATACCGTGGGACCAACTTTTGAATACCTGGGCCGGCACAGCTGACGATGAATTTCGATCGGCGCTATGCTCTGTGCATTCAAAAACTTTATCACTGACCGCACTTCACAGTCGGCGGGAGCTGGGATAAGAACCTCCATCTTCAACAGCTTCCACGATGCTACTGTGAGAACGCGGGAAGTACCGTTAGTGCATGCGCCATGCTACGTCATTGCTCTATCACGTACGCACAGTCGCTTCGCGCAATATAAGGTTTGCTAGCTGTGGGACGAGTGGGAAACTTACTTTGTCGACGCGCCTCGTATTTACACATATTACTGAAAGCAGGGAGCCAAAATTTCATGTTGCACCAGGAACAAGTGAGGTTAACAGAAAATGTACTTACTATAGTCAGCCGCACCCTCAGACACCTCATTTTAAATGTTATGAAATTAAGAGAGGTAATACATTAAAATATTAAACAAAACATAAGAAGTAAAGACTATCAAAATATCTTACAGAAGTGGTTGCCCGGTCCAGCATAATGGTGGCCCTTATAGGCCGCAAACAGCCCAGGGTTGATTCCGATCTGTACCAAGGGAAAAGGTTTAGTATCACTGTAATAAAAATGGATGACAACACTACACTCGGCTTAAAAAGTAACATTCTTCCCTCTCCCTGTGAACAGAACCTCACTGGTTACAATATTTAATTTTAATTCATAGATTTAACATTTTTTCCAGCTTTTGAGAATAAGCCATGTAGAATGTTAAAGGCTTTCCATATCAGCAAACACTGAAGTCGCCATCTTCAGAGTGAATGTACACTACAATGCTTGACAAATTAAATGATACTATTAAATCTCAATACAGATTATTTTCTAGGCCACCACTAGAAATTACAGACTCCAACAGTAAAAATTCTTATTGATTTGCCGTACACCTTTAACAAACTACATGGATATAAGCAGATCAAGAAATTTACCTGCTTTACAACAACTAGAAATTTCATTACCATGTTCACAAGAGCCAACAACTGGTCACTATTTTAAATCAGAGATTTGGTATACATCCTCATGTCCTATATCCTTAAAACACATTTTAATATTATCCTCCCTCCTATATCCAGGTCTCCCAACTGATCTCTTCCATTCATGTTTCATGGCTAAAATTTTATAAATATTTCTTATCACTCCAACACATGCCACATACTCCACCCATCCAAACGTCCCCTATATCTGACAGCCCTAATAATAATTAATAATGAGCAGATTGTAAGTTATGAAGCTCCTCATTATGCAGTTTTCTCTACCCTCCTGCCATTTCATCCCTCTTGGGTCCAGATATTCTCCTAAGCACCCTGTTCTCAAACATCGTCATGACAGACCATGCAAGATTTGAGGTTTACACGGCAGTGAGTCTTAGAATGGCCGTCTTCTGGGTTGTTGTGCCGTGTAGTCTAGTAGTACAAGTTTACCAACGTTTCAGAGGCCCTTGCTGCCTCCATCATCAGACTACATGGCACAACAACGCAGAAGACGGCCATCTTCACGACACACATCATGAACAGATAGAAAACAACAGGAAAAATTATAATTTTTAAATATTTTTAATCTGTACAGTTTTAGATGAGTCTGTGACGTAGGAACAAGACACAGGTCCATACACTGGTATGAGCACAAATACAAGGACAAAGATTTTGTAAAAAAATCTTACCAAAGGAATTCACGGATCAAACAGTAATATTACATAGGGCAAAAGCTTCATATCGGCAGACTTTGCAAATACTTTACTGAGGACCCAAACAACTCAACAACAGTTGAGCATATAAACAAATAAACATGAAATCCCCTCAGAATTGCTTACGTAAGAGAAACTAAAAATGAAAACTTCAACTTTTGTTTCAATGGTGAGAAACCCCTACTGTGTTGCAAAGAGAAATGAAATAAAGTGGTTTCATTGTCACAGACTGTCATGTAAATATGGCAGTGAATTCCGAAACAAAAAAGATTAAAATTTTAAGACCTTGAAAGTAATAGAACGAGCTGTAAGCAACACAGTTTGAAGTCACATAAATTGCTGGCCAATGTGCGTGTCTTTTGGGGGGGTGGGGGGGTGGAGTAGCTCGGTTCAATGCCCATCTCAAAAATGTCTATGATGCTGTTAACTTGCAATATTTTTAACACATTCAGTGTGAATCAAAAGGCACGTTAATATAACGTTCATCTGTGAAGGTTCACGTAGTGTGACCTTGACAGAACAAGACTGGAAAGACATAATCCATACCAGAATGCACAAATGTATTCTTTGCAAATTCTAAATTATTAATAAAAGATTGTGTCACTTATTTCACTTAAACAACTTTATTTTTCAACTTATCAAATCAAGTCTTCCTTGTGCATTGTATTTAAGTAATGAAAATCAATACTGACATGTCACAAGGCGTGTTAGCTCTGTGGTAGTATAACAAACTCATACACATGGCGTCACAGGACGGAATCCCAGTCCAGTTAAAAAAAAATTTCTTTCATTCAGCCATCATGTAATTATTTTAAATTATACAGAGAATTTCTATACCAAAGTCTTTTATTTCTAAAGATCCATAACCACACACCACTGTATGGCCCTATATCAAGTGGCACTAGTGCCAATCCCAACTCAGAAGTTTGTTCATCTGGCACATTGGTATTACTGACTGTAGGAAATTGAAAGGTATGATTTTAGTGTAGCCTCCAATGGCAAAATGTCCATACCAAATTTCATCCAAATATGCCAAGGGTTCTTGAGTTGAATCATGCAGAGACAGAGACAAGACCAGCCCTGTACATGTTCATTTCAAGCACATCGTGCAAAAGAACGTACAAGAAGCGTAGCCAATATGGAGAACGTCATTAGTAAACAAAGTGAAAATGTTGCATAATACAGAATTTTTCTAGCACCTTCATCTGTAAATAGCCGCAACATTTTTCAATAATTTTTTCAAAGGCATATCTTGTAGTTTTGCTTCTTAAGTTATTAACAGCTGGCATCCACCCCCTGTGACTCTCACTAGTCTAGGAGAACTCAGTCCACATTCCAGAACCTGCAAACAGCTTATTCCCTCCTAATTCTAACCAGTGTCACAACAGTCGTACCTTAGTTTACTAGCAACAGTCGCCTTGCACTCGGCGAGTGATGATCTGCCTTTAAACACGTCACTTGACCATGAATGAAAGGTGAACACTTATCTGTGACCATACTACACATTGAGTTAAGAATTGTTCAATGCTAATAGGCTAACAAAATGGAAGATCTGAATATAAAGCTTTAAATAATGTGCCTCTGTGAAATCAAAATGTATAAAACAAAGATGGTGCAGACCAAGTTCTTTGACAATGTCAATTACTTGCAAGAATAAAGAGAAATCTTGGTCAGCTATTCTATCTGGTGAGAGATCAGCAAATTCCAATCACAATTCAGAAGCCAGCCCTTAATGTAGCACACATACGTAACAGTTAACTTATTGCATTACTTGTCAAGCAAGTGTGATACAAGTTAATGTGTTTATTGATGAAAGACTCTTGGGTTACAAGTCATGTCAGGTGGCTGAATGGTGAATAAACCACATCTTCTGCCACCTGACACGGCTTGTAACCCGAGAGTCTTCCATCAACTTCAGTCACTGCGAAAGCTTCACTTTAATGCGTTTATTCTCACCCCATATGCGCACACAGCGAAATGCAGATGGGACTTGTAAGGGCACAGAAATTATTAGGGAGATTTCTGCTTTTAAAGGACGGATTCAAGTCCCTATTTACCGAAGAACTAAGCATGCATTATAAGATTATACTGTAGCATCCTGTCATATTTATCATTCATTTATTTATTTATTTTTATTTATTTAGTGTTCTGTCTGACGACAGGTCCATATGAACAGGATCCTTCCATCCTTTTCTCGGACTGGGACCTGTTCATATACGTTCTTGGCAGATGATCCAGAAGTGGTTTGCCATTGCCTTCTTCTGTGTGTGAATGGAATAATTGTTGGGATGCCACGGAGAAACCGGGGAAGCCCCCGGAGGAAAACTCCGTGTTGCCTAGACCACGGCCTTGCCCAACACAAGTTATAAATTCGGGCACCGCCGGGAATCGAACCCGAGACCCCAGGATTACAAGGCCAGCGTTCTAACCGCTAGACCACCGTGGCTGTATCATTCATTTAACAGCAGATAAAGGAACATATACAAGCAACACACAATATCTCCTAAAATTAAATAATATTAAATAAAAGACACATATAGTATCGTGTCAAACACCAGGATATCGTAAAATAAGCAGATAAAGAAAAAAGTTTAGAGTAATACCACACATTTCCAATCACTAAAAATAACTTTCAAATGAACAATACAAATAATAACCCAATATTAAAAAAACTGTATCAACTAGACGCCATCACCAACATACCAATTCAGATTTAAAAAACATAACCACAAAAAATACTTCAAAGAAACGACAAAACAAACTGAAACAAACGCTAATAAAATAAGCCGTATGTACAACCTGAGACAACACGGACTCATAGTAACACATAACACAGTCAGTCATTCAACATGTTACAAGCAACAGCAAGTCAATGATACAGGCAACAGGACCAAGCAGAGGATCTGACAACACACAAAACTATCTATAAATAATTTATCAAGTTATATTGTATGCCTACACATTGTGTTTACTTATTTTAAACACAATATAACACGTACAAGAAAATGAGCACAAATCAGGGTTAAGAAAACCTGAAGAGTCATGTGACAATCAAAACATGCTGTAATGTGACTGCAGCGAGTCAGTGCAATAACATAATTGTGTAATTTCAATACACAATGCCAGGAGTTGTGTAGAAAATTATATATTTTGAGTATTTGAGAAATCAGTAGAACTGATGATGGTGGTTTATCTTTATCTGTGCTAGTAAGTTCCTTCAATGAAGACAATTTTCATAAATGAACTTTTTACTACGTCCACCCTCAATCAAGCTTTATGATGCCGTCCAAACAAAACTGCAGACTGTCTTGTGACTGCTCAGAGGATTAAAAGTATAGAATACTTTACATACAAAGCATAAATCCATTACAATCATCTGCTAAGATCTTAATAAGAATCATCACACAGCCATTGCGGGTGTTATGTTTTTATTATTATTTATTAGTGTTCTGTCTGACGACAGGTCCATATGAACAGGATCCTTCCATCCTTTTCTCGGACTGGGACCTGTTCATATACGTTCTTGGCAGATGATCCAGAAGGGGTTTGCCATTGCCTTCTTCTGCCGCCGGGAATCGAACCCGAGACCCCAGGATTACAAGGCCAGCGTTCTAACCGCTATACCACCGTTTTATTAACTAATGCAGTTCTGCATACATTCCAAGACTTTTAATTCCTGTGGATAGGCTCTCGTAAATTGCGACTAATAAGTGGTTTGTTGCAAGTACATGAGATTATGTATAAATGCATGAAAAAATCTTGAACTTCTCAGTTTATGCAATGCCAATGTTTAATTATTCCAAGTTATTTCCATATCTCCATAATAAACACTTCAAAAGAGAACAGATTATGCCCTACCTGCACCAATTTGTTTCTGCATCTACTGCCTTAATGTGATATATATAAGTTAGTAGACAGGCTTAAAGATTATGACAAAAAATTTAGGATAGTATGGGCACCCACTAAAACAAGCATTTTTGTAAATTTGATCAATTCTCATCATATCACGACTACGCCGTAATTTATTTCTGCGGTAGTATGATGATTTTCAAAGTCCCTACACTAATGGCAAAGGTCATGCAAACGAACCGATGACAGTACTTTACTAATGCACTTCAAATATTGTTCAGAAGACTGGCATACTTACGATGACTATATCTAAATTCAGAGCTAAATGGTCTGGCAGAGTTCGTTTTGAAACTTCCTCTTCTGGCATTCCATTAAAGCGGTCATGTTTCTTCCTCTCTTTAAATATTGGAACAAATTTATCATCTTTCAGTTTTTTCTTAGTAAAGGCATTTCCATTCAACAGGTTTTCACTGTCTTCCAACCTGTCAACACAAAATAAAAAAACAGAGTTACTGAAAATCACGGAGTAAATTGTACTAATGCCAAGTAGAGTCCATTAACCTCACTTCCAAATGCCTCAAAATAACGCTACATGATAAAAAAGACTCTGGACACTGTCACATATGAATGCATCCTATTTCTCATTAAAAGTTTACTTTATCTGTTCTAACATTCAGTTACACCACGCAAATCCCACAATATGCAAATGTTTTCATAACCACAGGAGCCATTTTCTGCTTCATTTTGATATAACTCCCATTTATGGTTTTTCTTGATTTATGGTATGAAATGCCTAATCCCTAAGCAAACCTTAAATGGGGGCGTTCACTCCAAACTTCATAGCAGCAACAAAAATTCATGCACAAACTGGATCCTTTTGTTTGCCAATGTTACGGGATTTTTTTTTTCCGTCGCCACATCAAAGCCGACTCTGCGAGTCACCCAGCCTTCCGTCTAATGGATACTGGACATTACCTCCTCACGGACAAAGTAGATCATGGGCGAACCTGACAACTCACCACTTTCATGGCACACAGCTATGTACAGGGAGAATTTTACATCATCTTTACTTGTTTAGCTGTAATTCTACAGTTACAGTATGCCGTTAGCTTCTACAATGACTAAAACATTTTGAATGAAATTATAACTATAAATGTGCTAATAATTCTCACCCTTCTTCTGGATTGACTTTCTTCTTTCTGCCACGTTTTTTAGGTACGGTTTGCATAAGAACAGCATGCCCTCTGGGTTGTAGCATTGGTGATGGGTCATCATCAACAAAACTGTATGGATCTTCTGGAGGCTCACATTTCACTCCCATGTTACCAGTATTATGCATATGGTTTAACAGCTTCTGCGTATCTCCATGAGGCCTGAGTTCCAGGTCCCCACTAGTTTCATAACCGTCATCATGAGGTTCTTGTTTCATAGTGCCCTCTGAGAACACTGACCTGCAAACATTACCAGTACCTCCTTACAATGACGCCTGATATAATTACACTGATTAGTTACGATGGTATATATTAAATAACAACCAATGTAAAAGTAGTGACGATAAAGAACGGTGACTTGTAAAGAATGGGATGTAACCTATTTTTATTAAATTTTTATTTTATTTCATCCCACTGGTTATATCAACATCACCAGGTAAGATTTACACTTCAACAAATGTCATACAAGTTTTAGTACGAGCAGAACAGAAAAATAAACATGTTAGGAAATAGGTCCATAGCATTAACATTTCTGGTGTGTATTTTGCCTCTGTGAATGGTAGAGAGATTTCCCACGTAGGAATTCTTTGCATGTGGACTCCCAATCTAGTCACTAAGCAAAAAAATTATAGGTCTTAAACAAAAACAGTGCCCATTTCTGTTGTGTGACCTAAACCAAAAATGAAATAAGCTGATTAATTTTAGCAGAACTCTCCAATGCCAAATTTCATGAATGTGTGTTCAGACATTCTTGAGTTCTTACATCATACAGACAGATACATGGACGGATAATAACAGGCACCTAGCAAGGATGTGAACACACCTAGAACCAGTTATTTTATGGTTAAGAAACTGGTGTCATATAAAGGAGAAAAAGATACAGAAGAAAAATTACTTTAAGTTACAAGACCCATGAACACAATTTCCAAATAATAGAAATTCTGCAAACATACTAGGACAACATTACCCTAACTTTACTGACACTTTCACATAACTCCCTGGTAGCAGAATCCACAGGTTCAACACCGCCAAATCCCACCACCGGCCACGATCCTGAGCCAACTCCATCCATTTGCCATCCTCACAGCCCATCTCCCTAAGATCCACCTTGACGTTATCCTCCTGTCTCCTTCTTGGTCTGTCCAGTGGCATTTTCCAGAAGGATTCCCTACCAAAATCCTACATGCACCCCTTGCCTCCCACTATATGTGCCACATGTCCAGCCCATAGGAGCCTCCTAGATTTCACTATCCTCACTCTGCTAGGTGACCCGTACAATTCACGCAGCTCCTCATTATGAAATATTCTAAATTCCCCACTTATTTCATCCCTCCTAGGTCCAAATATCCTCCATCACTGCCTGTTTTCAAACACTTTTAATCTATATTCTTCCTTCAAGGAAAGACCCATGTTTCACAATCATACAAGACAACTGGCAAAATTATTGTTTTATATATCCTGATCTTGAGTGTTTTGGATAGTAGTTCTTGAATGGAATTAAAACAAACGTTCTGCAAATGTATTCTACTCTTAATTTCATCATGGACCTCATTTCTAATTGTTGTTATTGTTCCCAGATACTAAAATTTTGAAACATATTCAAATAATGTTTTCAACAACTGGACAACAAAATTAAAAGAAAAAATAAGAAGTATAGCTGCTGAAATGAAATTTATATGAGGAATCACAAAACACACAGTAATATCCCACATAATCCTAGTTAGTGTAAAACTGCATTCAAAGAGACAGACTTCCCAAACTATTAAAAAAATCACATAGTATAGTATATACTAACCTAACTTAAACTAACCTTTCTGACAATTAGCAAGGTTAGCATTCGGCATATAGCGGTCACAATTAGGCCTTGTGCGTGTGCCAGAATTTTTTAAAATTCTTCCATTTTGTCGACGATGAAGAACAATAATGACAGTAAGAATTCACTTGCAAGGAAAAGTATGTAAAACTTCTTGAATAGTTCAGTAAAACACTTTTTTAAACACCTATCTTTATTGTAACAATTTTTGTTTGGATGTTAAACAATCTTTTGATATCTGATGAATTTCCGCATAAGATAACTCTATATGACATGATGAAATACAAATAAACAAATTAAACTAATTTTAAAGTATCTCTCTTCATGAGTAGTGTGACTGTCCTCATGACAAAATATGACGAACTTAGTTCAGGGATAATATACTTAGTGTGTGTTTTCCAGTTTAGTTTATTATCAATTTTTTAATAAAAGGAATGTAGTTGTACCCATTTACTCAGATGTTTATTAGCATAACCTATATTTAAGTAAATGTGTGTTTTGTTGTTAGTTGCTTGCAAATTTTGTCAAAATCTAATGTAAGTTTAATAGCTTTAAACCATTTGATCAGACAGCAAAGATCTCATTAATGGAATTTTTAAAGTAGTTATTTTTCAGGATGATAAATACTAATACTAGCAACATTACCAAAGGGAATGGAAGGCTTGGACTAAGAACTGATCGCTTGAGGCAGATCACTGATATGCAAGACAAAAAGCTGATGACCAAGCACCGAAAACTGAAGAACATCATGTTATACATCCTCCCATCACAGTTTGATTATGTACTGTACTTAAAATTACGAGATTTACTTTTAATTCATACTTTTTGTTATCTGCCATAAAGGTATGATTTAAGCCAATGCCCAGCTTTACATATAATTCCTTAAAAATTCACTTTCCATATTAACATGTCATGACACACAAACAAATTCTTTGGTACAGTCACAAAATATTCCAGTGATATGCATATTATCATTGAGATCACAAAGGATTTCATCTCTGAATTCGTACAAGGTTTATCAGTACAAAGACTTTTCTAAATCCACACTGTACTTCTATGAGGATACTGTCAGAGTTCATAAAATTACTTAGTTTCTTGTACATAACTTCCTCAAATATTTTGTAAATTGATGTCAGTAATGTACTCTACTTGAAACCTATTTACACCTTGTAAAATGGAAAACTCATTGTTACACAGGACGGTTCTTCTCATGTACAGACCATATGTATGTATACATATACATACACACACACACACACAGACAGACAGGCAGGCACGCACACACGCACGCACGCACACACAGACTTAACCTTGTATGTTAAAAATACTGGCATCTGTAACAAATCACATGAAGAGGTTTGATTACTTTCCTTGTTTACTTAAACACTGTAACCGACGTATAAACGAAAACAATATTTTCTTCCAAAAAACAAGTACACACATAGTCACTGTTTACACAATATACTCACAATTTAAGGGATTGTGCTTCTGTTCCAGATGGGTCCTGAGCTTCCATACTGGCTCCCAGGAGCGTGGCTGCTTCTCTAAATAGTGTAGCTACCTGCATTGAGAGATATGTCCGTACAATTGTTCGAAATTCAGTACTTAACTGTTTAAGAACGGCTTATTTTTGAAGAACATAACACCCCTCCCGCATAATGGCCGTCCATTTAAATATGGCTAACCAAACGAGCATCGAAACCTCACCCTTTCAAAATAGTGAGCTCTTCTGCGATTGGTTAGCCGTTTCGAAGCTCAAAAATCAATATGTGCTATATTCCGCTTTTGGAATACTGCCGTATGACGTTTATAAATAATCATTCCGCGTAAGGGTTTGTCTAATCTTTCTTCTCATTACATATAAGAAAATTACGATATGATTAAAAATGAGGGATGCAAGTTATAGAGCATTATGTAACTTGACATTACTTAATTGGCATTGTTATGATCTGCGTGAAAACTGAGGATCCATATGATCGTGGAACGTTCAAACATGGAAAGATCGTGTCTTTGAATAAACGGAAACGATTCTTTTTATTTGTACTAACCCCTGAAGCCTCACGATTGGTCCAGTTTCATTACATACGAATGAAGGAACAACTGCACAGAAAATTAAAAAGCGCACTACAAAGTTTACATAGCCATCGTCTTGTTTGACTATATAAACGTGGCTTTTCTTGGCGCAGTCTCCGAAACGAACGTCTATATCGGTTACACGATCTTCAGGTATTAGATGCTGTCGATTTCTTGTTTCAAGAATGAAAAGCAGTTCAGTGTAGAGCCAATGTTCTTCACATCTGACTACAATACACGAAAAATGTTGTTTCTTACAGATGATGTTTTATAAGCGAGTGCATTTTATTCAGTATTTAAAATTATCTATTTTAATGTCGATCTGCCCTAATCCTTCCGTGGAAAAAAGTTTGAAATAGTCAAACCTCGATTCAATAAGCCTGGTTGTTCAGAAGTGAATTCGTATGTGTTATTAAAATGACTATGCCCTCCAACATAATATGCATTACAGAGCACTAAACCTTGATCTGAAATATGTTTAATTAGAAGATTGTATTGCGACAATGATGCGGAGGTGTAGAGTCCCATAGATAATTATAAATGGGATTAATATATTCAGGAAACACAACGCGTCTCCTTGGGGCAATTTCCCCTTCTCGTTTCCTGTCCACTTGAAAGATGAGATAGATGTTCCGACCGCACCACGAACATCAATAATTATCATCATAATGAACATCACCGCCATCATCATCATCATAACGCCTCGTCGTTACAAAGATCAATTTCTTCATACCCTTTGGATTTCTACGTCTCCACCTCCGATGTAACATCACAACCAAAGAATTCAGCCGCCTCCGCAAAGCGTCGTTATCACAGAGATCGCTTTGCAAAAACATCTTCGGTGTGTACCTCCTATAACCACTGACAGCAGGCAAAACGAATAGAAAACTGAGGGCCATGCAGAATTAGAGTTCACTGCATCAAGACGCAACCTATAGGAGTTCAAATCTCAGTTTAAACATGCGATAGAAACTGAAGATTATAGAAAAACGGTAATGGAGACTAAAATTGGTCAAAAATATTACTCGCATATTTTAAAAAATGATACTACAGTCTAACTACTTACCTAAAAGTTACTAATGAACAACATGTTATTCGATTAACGACATTCAAAAGATTGCTGTTGGATGCCGTAAGGTTTACACAAGACAACAAGATACTTGACTACAACCCAACTCAAAATAAACTTTTCCAGATTTCACCGGTGATTTCCGTCTGTACTTATTTACCCAGATAATGTTCGAAATACAACGCGATGGGTGATTCAAATCGTAGGTAACCTAACCTCACCCAACCTAACCCTACCTTTCCCAATGTTTAAATATTCATAATCGTCTCTTAGGATTTAAAAACGAGGGAACGGCTAGACGAAAATTTGGCAAAAATGTTATGTCATATATTAGTACTCCAAGCTCATAATATACAAATTCTTGCGACCTTAACTGTTCATCTCCAGGTAGTTATATTTGTGTGTTCGAAACTAATAAACATGGCTACTAATTTGTACACACATTTTCTGTCATTGTCTTCGCCATGTAATGAACTTTGTCTTAAGCACATTGCCTATTTTAGTAAAGTGGACTATGTAGGTGTACTTACCGGTGGAATGCAGTTTGGTCAGCTCTTCCCATGCCGCCGTGTCTTATTCTCGAGGACATGAACTGTGGGCGTTGGACGCAGGAGGAAGTGATTCTGAACTTCGCAAATGACAGCGCAACAGAGAATGTAATGGAAATATCCGTTATCATTCCGCTCCAAGAGTGCTCTAAAGTCAAAAACGAAATTAAGAGAAAATTATGTTTTTTTTCTTTGTCTGCAAGACAATAGCTTACCGAGAGCTTGTCCCATCTGGTCCAGCAGAATTTTTTTCTAAAAAGATTGGAACGTCTGAGACAGCGATTTGGTTGTGCGAAGTTACATGTGAATGACTTCTAGAATGCTTCAATAACACTGAAATTCACGTATAGTTACGCGAGGAATCTACTTTGAAGGAGACCACTGTAGTTTAGAATACAATTTAAGAAGTGCTGCCTGGTGAGAACAGTCTCGTTATTTGCCAGACTTCATACATTAAAATAAAAAATATGCTCGTACCCACAAGACTCCACGAAGCAAAAAACCTGGACGGCTGCTGTAACTGATCTGGTACATTATACATAATCGACTTCAATCATTTTGTAACATCTGTTTTGTTTCATTCCTGAATTATCTGAAAAGGGATTATTTTACAGGCACTTCTTTTAATTTCGCTTTAGCATATACCAATAGGAAAGTCAAATAAAATAAAGAAGGATCGGAATTATTTGCAACGTATCGTCTTGTACACTGCACATAATTTGGTTACACAAAGAAAAACAAGCGAAATTTGTTGCAGCCTGCGAAGGACATTAATCATGAAACAAACACAAAAAAAGAAAAAACTAAGCAGGCACCAGATTGTATGACAGCCATAATACGACAACAATACAAAAGCAGCTAAATAATCTTCTAGAAATATGACAAAATAGAAATATTTGTAGAAAAGAAGGCCCTTTCTACTATCAATATCCGTCCGTAAGTGTACCCTGTGCCGCCACTCATATGTATGATACTATTTTCTCTGTTGCCACAAAACCAAAGGTTAAACAGAACTACGAGCGTTTCATCGCGCACAGATGACCTAAAAGTAACTCTTCACTATGTGAAAGAACTCGTTAAATGTTTTCAAAATGGCGACATCGGTTTGGATGTGTTTTATCTGATGGCTACCGCTTAGAAACAGAATGTGTTACTTTTGGGGTTTCTCGGTTCAAGATGACCTCAGATTTCGAATCTCGTAATGACGAAATTTGTATTTGATTGTTCTAGACGGTAACTAGGATGTGTGAAAAAGTTACGTTGGTAGGGCTTGTACTAATGGGGAATGCCTAGTGCAACTGTAGTAGAAAACCAATTTTCATTTGACATGCCGTTATCACGCACACGTTCCTTGCTGGGCAACATTAATGGGGCACCATCCAGCATCCCGAGTGAGGCATATCTGTCTCACATTACGGAAAGTATTAATCATCTACCATCAATGAAGACAGGCCAGGAACTTCTTGCCCTCCAAGTTTCAACTTTACAGATACCAAATCAACCTAGTACTGTGAATCAGTCGCTGCCTTTAATCAATTCTATTGTTTCTGATGGAACGAATAGTCCGATTCAAAATAAAAATGGCTCATCAAAACCAAAAACCATGGTTGCTACTCCTGACCAAGTAATGAAATTATATATGAACAAGCTCACTCCCTATGAACAACATGAAATTTTCAGCTATCCTCAGATTTATTTTATTGGTGCCAATGCAAAAAAGAGACCTGGAATTGTTGAGACGGCAAACAACTGTGGATATGATAATGAACAAGGGTCATATATTCATATACCACATGACCATGTGGCATACAGATATGAAGTTTTAAAAGTGATTGGCAAAGGGAGTTTTGGACAGGTAGTTAAGGCATATGACCACAAAAACCACGAACACGTAGCTCTGAAAATGGTGCGGAACGAGAAAAGGTTTCACAGACAAGCACAAGAAGAAATACGAATTTTAGAACATCTGCGAAAACAGGATAAAGATAATACAATGAACATCATTCACATGTATGATAGTTTCACATTCCGAAATCATATGTGCATAACTTTTGAACTGCTATCAATAAATCTTTATGAACTAATTAAGAAAAACAAATTTCAAGGTTTCAGTCTTCAGCTAGTACGAAAATTTTCCCATTCTCTTCTGCAATGTTTGGATGCCCTGTACAAGAATAAAATTATTCACTGTGACATGAAACCCGAGAATTGTATCAGTTTGCATCACAGTTGGCGACGGCAGAAATTCTGCGTAATGTATTATTACCATCATAATGTTCACACATTTAACACAACTGAATGTGTGAAGTACTAATATGAAGATCATTGTAAAACACTCTATGCAAATGTTTAAAGAACGAACCTGGGTCTTGGCTGTCTTCTTCTTCTTCTATGGCTCTCCGGTCCATATTCGGTCCGTGGCCTCCTCAATTCTCCTCTACCATTCGGTCCTATTGTTAGGTCCATTCTGTCCGAGGCTTTGATTGAGGTTTCGAAACATCTTCCTTTTTACAGTGCAATGTTGTTAGCTTTGCGACCAACCCCCCAACCTGGAGGACCAGGGTACCCGTCTTAGTCTGACCTCTCCCCCTCGACCAATCTGGCTAGGGAGGCCCTACCAGTAGCTATGCTACCGCCAGCATAGCTCTTGGGATCACTGAGGTACTCAAGCCCCCACCACCACGACAAGGGGGTCTTGGCTGTGATGGTGCTAATATTTGTGGAACTCTTGCTGTTGGTGGGGAAAACTGCAAAAGAATAATTAAATTGAATATATGACAAACATTTCTGTGCCAAATTTGAATTGCCATGCAGCATAGTCTTTTGAAGTAAGAAAATTAATTAATTTTTAATCTCAAGTCTATACTTTAGACCGTGGGTTCTAAATATTTTAAAGCCCATGGTCACATTATGCTTCTGTATCACCTCTTGGGCTGCAAGATTATAAATGAGGACAATTTCATTTTCTGTAACAAATTTAATTAGCTGTTTGTATTAATTATTTATTAATACTGAATATTTCATTTGTGTGGAAACTGTCTTCACTATACAGACCGACAAAGTGTAATAAAACATGCAGGCTGCAGGTTGGTAATGCTTGTATCAGACTGTAACGCCTAAAGGTAACATACTGGCACAATGTAGTTTCTGTGTATTGTACATTCTTACCTTTTAAGTATAGTAAGTGGATGTTATCAACAACTCGAATGTTACGTAAAGGTACATATTTACAAATTAAGTAATCAAAAGCAAAGTTGTTTATAAGATAAAAATGACATGTTTATCGTGTTTTGCGTGTCGACTTTGTCTTATCATGAACACAGATGTAGACTAATGACGTTATTCTGGGTTGTGAGACCATTCAGACTCGTATGTATATACCAGAATTTTTAAGAAACATACTGTCTCCATCTTCAGGGCTTCAGCCCTGAAATGAGACATTGGTATCTACCTACGAGTCTATGCAGCATCACAACACAGAAGATGGATGATTCCGTAATTTGTTTGATCAGCTGTATGATTATCATCTCAGAAGTATCACTAAAATACTGAGAGACAATTTTGGTATTACATCTAATCAGGTAACCATTTTAAAAAAGGAGAATTTGGTCTTCAAAAGCCATTGTGTTATTTTAAACAAAATGCACAGCATTAGCAGAAACAACTCGCTCTCAACAGGCTTACTATGAAAGCTTAATCTGATTTCAGCGCAGTTTGGTGGGGCAGGTATTTTTAGAACAGGAAGTGTAACTGTGTTGATCAGCTGTGTGTTTATTTTCAGGTTACTGTTTTTTTATTAACCACAGAAAAATTAATATTGTTTCTGAATTTGGATTTAATTATTTGCTGTTTCCAACAACAAATCATGTCAAGTAAACAATTTATAATTATTTATCTTCTGTTCTCATTGTGCTTGTGTTTCATAAGGATAACACGACTATTTGTTGAAGCATGGTCTAGTGTTATGAATTATTTATTAACAGAGTCAGGTTCAGGCTGGAACAATTTTCATGAATATTATGAGCAGATGTTTCCCTAAAGCCTTACTCTACAGATCCCTCATGTCTGCAATGTAAAGATAATGACCATTTCATCTGCAGAAGGCTAGTGACAATTTAATATAAGATTTTTTGTTTATTTAGTTATTTAATTCTTTTAACATCTAAGTAATGTGGGGAAATTGCTAAGGTAATTTTCACCATAAATTAGAACTCATAAAGTACTGACACGTGTATTTTATTCTCTTGTTCTCGAGATCATTCGTGATTTATTTTCCTTTATTGCATGCATGCACATAGGATTCGC